GTACCCCAGCTCTGTATGCATAAATAAAATTAAAAAAAAAAAGGAATAAACTCCACATCCCTAGGTATCTCCTACTCTTTACTGTAGTTGCACACAGCCTTCTTTCTGTTAGCCACAAAGGGCTAAGCTCTTTATAGAGCTTGTTATTTTTATCCAAAACATCTTAGCATCTGTCTTTGCAAGGTTGACATCCCATCCTCAGGCTTCAGGAAAAATGGTATTGGAACAGTCCTACATGAAGTAGGCACAGACTTAACTCACTCCTGTTCCATGCCGAGTACTAACTGATGAAAGAGTGATAGGCCGGCGATTTGGTAGAGTGAGATATATGCCTTTCATTATGAAAATGATAATTTTTCTTAATTGCTTTATTTTTGTGGTAGTATTTTACCATAGGCATTTTTCACCTTGATGCACAACAGTGACTAGAGAGAAAAACATTTTCATGTTTAGGAATGTCTTGGCCATATTGAAATTTTTTTTAACACTTCCCTTAGTTGAACTTTATTTTACATTTTTAAAACTTTTTTTTTATTATTTTTTCATACACTGTCAATTTTTAAACAATATATGATTTCTCATTTTTCAGGTAGAGTGACTGAGTTCTCCTGTTGTGCCAGGTTCTGAAGCCTGTCATGGCGTCAGTTTGGTCTTTCACTCCCACCACCAATCCATCACTGTTTTCCTTTATGCTCCCCCGCTGTCCCCATCCCTGTTACCGTCCTCCCCTTGGGATGCTTCAGTTTCACACAGAGGTGAAACCATCCAAGATTTAATCTCTCTTTTTAAAAGATTTATTTATTTATTCATTCATTCATTCATTTATTTATTTATTTATTTATTTATGCAAAATCTGGGGTACAGGCAGAGGTATATGGGGGTGGTGAGAGGATTCATCAGAGACAGAGTGTGGAGCAGAACAGGCAGATCTACTGAAATACACAGCTAAGGGAAGCTTGGGTGAGACAGGAGAGGGTCACTATGCCATGTGGGTCAGCTCCCTGGCCAGCTGAGGATCAAACTCATGCTGAGTGGCTGGTGTTAGCTTAATAGTGCTGTCTTTAACCTCTGTGCCACCAGGAGGCCCCAACATTTAAGCTATTTCCTGGACTTATTGCACCTAGCATCATCCCTCCCAGCTCCATCCATATTGCTGCAAATGACATGAGTTCCTTTTTTGATTGCTGAGTAGTATTTCATTATGTATATATACCATATCTTCTTGATCTATTCATCTGTTTTGGGCCATTTAGGTTATTTCCATATCTTGGCTGTTGTGACCCTATTGATCATTATATAATCTTTTTACTTTTTAGATTTGCTCCCCGGGTCTGCATTCTGACTCTTTGAAACAGAGTTTAAGGGTCCCTGTTGGCAACGTCCACTTCGCTATTCCCATGCCCAAATATCAGCGGCTAAGTGAACAACTAGGATCACCTGTCAATAACCTGGAGCCTGTGGACAGGTAGGTTATACCCTTCACTAAGGTGGTACACACTGTAATTGTACGTGAAAGTAGAATTATTTTCTCAATGATATTTTTGGGAAAATGGTTCTATCACTGGACATGGGGAGACCTGGAGGTTCCTCAGGTCCAATTTCACCCTCCAGCATCTCAAGTGGATAAACCTTGAGTGAGCTAGCTGCTATTTACTACGTTATCTGCTGGAGAGCAGAAGGATAGATTTGAAATGAGGACTCTTCATATACCAGTGAGGCTAAGCAAGATATAGTGTTTATTGATTAGCGAAAGAACAAAGAAATAAACTTCTAGGAAGGTCTTGATGACCATGGCTTTAGGACTGGGGCTTGAGAACAAAGGAATTAAACTTCAGTCGCTGAGTGAGCAAGGAATGTGGATATGGCCAAAGTCGATGTTTTCGTTGGAATATGGCTCATTTACGGACCATATTGACAGTCATACAGGATTTGTGAACATCTCTAGTGGTGTGTACATTCTTAGTTCCAATCTGTCTTTCAGATTCTATAACTCCTTTCTTTTCCAACAGCCTGGGGACTTGATAAGTTGTAGAGATATAGGAATGTACAGACTGTGGGAAAATTAGTAATAAAAAAAAGGTGTTTGGACCCTTTTTGCATCGTTAAAGATTTATTTTATTTATTTATGCATACAAGAGCTGGGGTATAGGCTAGAGGTGTAGGGGAGTGAGAGGATTCATTAGAGACAGAGTGGGGAGCAGAACAGGAGGATCTACTGAAATACACAACTGAGGGGAGCAGTGGGCGAGACAGGAGAGGTCTGCCATGCTATGTGGGTCACCTCCCTGCCCGGGGATTGAACTCATGCTGAGACGTTTGGGTAGCTAGCTTCAGAGTGCTGTGGTAGTTGCACCTCCAGGGAGGGCCCCATAACATCTGACTAGACAGGAAAAATGACTCAGTCCTGCAAGACCACCCTCTGCTTCACATGCCAATAGTAAGCCCAGGCTATTACAATGATTTTGACTGAGTTGTTTATAGGTTGAAAGTTCTATAACCGCCTCCTTAGCCTTCAGACACCATTCTTAAGCCCAGGTTATCATCTTGCTATTGACAAATTGGCTATTGTGGGATCCACAAAAAGCTAGTCTTTTCCCAAACATCCTCAATAGGTTTTTCCCTTGCTAGTACAACTTTTCTAAACTGTCACCTGATATGTCTGTCTAGAGCCCTTGGACCTCAGAGTTATCATTACTTAAAGACTGCCTTGTCAGGGCAAATATGCAGAGAGGAGGTTCTGTCTGGCTTAATCATTCTCTCACAGTGAAACCCTCTCTTCTCTTCTTATGTCCCTGATCCCTTAGCATATAATAGAAAGCTCTGTGTTGCCCTATTTACTTTAGAATTTACAGCATTGTGAATTCTTCCTGTTTATGTTATTAAATTTGGTCTTTATCCTACTAATCTGTTTGTTCAGATAGCCTCAGAAGAAGCCAGAGGGGTGGGAATATCCCCCTGTGCACCGGCACAAAGAATCAGAAGGAAGTTCCCATGGCCCCTTCCTCAGGTTCCCTCAATTTGCTAGAGCAGCCTACAGAATTTTGGAAACCTCTTTACTCACTGAATCACCAATTTATGACATGCAACTATTATTACTCAGGAACATCAATTGGAAGAGATGCATAGGGCAAGGTACGAAACAGGACCAGAACTCCCATCCTGTCCTTAGGCTTCCATTCTCCTGGTACCTCTGTGTGCTCACCAACCAGGGAGTTAGCCTTACCTCTTGATTTTTTATGGGGGCTTCTTTACTTGGGCATGGTTGATTAAATCTATCTCCTTTGGCAATTCATTCCATCTCCAGCCCCTTGCCCCTCTCAAGAGGTTCCAAAAGATCCAACCCACTAATCAGGCATTTGCTTTTCCAGGCCATCAGACTGCCCCCCACCCCCAGCTCCTTTAGGTAATGCACAAAGCTCCTGAATTTGCATAAAAAACATACCTTTGTCATTCTGAACTCTTTAAGAAAATTCCAAGGGTTTTGAGAACTGTGAGACAGAGACAGAAACTGAATGAAGACCAAATCTCTATGAAAAATATGTTTTGATGGTCTGACAAAATATATTTTCCCTATAAATGACAATGTGACAGTTATACATACAGTTATACATAGTTTAAAATATTTGAATTCAGGTTTTATTTTACAACTATGAGTAGTAAGAAAGGGCGGGCATTCTACAGGGCATTAAATATATATCTCAGGTCTTAGGAGCTAACTAAAAGTAGGAATAGTCACGTAAAGGTTTGTTTTATTTTTAAAGATTTATTTGGGCATACAAAAGCTGAGGTATAGGCTAGAGGTGCAGGGGTGGGGAGTGACAATATCCACCTGAAACAGTGGGGAGCAGATCCACTGAAGTACACTGCTGAGAGGAACAGTGGGCTAGACAGTGGCTGCAGATAGCTTCATAGTGCGGTGATGCAAGCGTTGTACAATCAGGGAGGCCCGTATTAGATATTTTTCACCTTACAAAAGTCACCAAAAAATAATAATGGGAGAAAGTATATTTTCTGAGAGGAGAACTGTGCTGTGGTCTCTGTGGCATTTTAGGAGTTTTCACTAAAGATGTTTTCACAAATAATGTTCAGAACACAGGGGACATCTATGCAGGAAGTCGGAGGACCTGTAATGATGGGGTTCAGTAAGTGAGGTCCTTGGGAATTTCTCTAAGGAAGGTTTTAGCAGTTTATTGATTAAAAAGAGACATTTGCATAAATACGAACAGGCAAGGGCTGCATGTTAAAAGACTAGGTTTATTAGGAAAAAGAGAAATGAAAAAAGAGTCCAGCATAGAAATTCTCAGAGCCTCAGTCGGCCTTAACTAATTTCTAAAGGTCCTCTATACAGTTATATTGGGTGGTAGGGTGCCTACATGATGTTAAGGGGAAAACAATTTACTCCGCAGCAAAGGTCTATGGGGTATTAACCTGAAGATGGGAGACGAGGGTGTGAGGTCACCCAGAGAGATGAGAGTTTTTTTTAGAAAGATTTATTCATGCATACAGAACTGGGGTACAGGCCAGAGGTGTGGGGTGTAAGAGGATTCACCAGAGACAGTGTGGGGAGTAGAACAGGCAGATGATGGGCAGGGAACTGCATTTGAAAGGGACAGATTTATTCAAAGAGACACCTGCATAGACACATGCTGGTAGTGTTGGACAAGACCCACATTTTGTCAGAGCAAAAGGTATCATATCATTTTCTTTGGGGAGATTTTTTTTTTAATTTATCTTTTTATGCATGTAAGACTGGGGTGGGGTCCTCCCTGTTGGCACAAGGGGTTAAAAACATAGTTCTATGAAGCTATCAGCCACTGTAGCATGAATTTGATCCCCAGTCAGGGAGCTAACCCATGTGGTAGATCTCTTCTGTCTCACCCCTTTGCTCTCCTCAGCAGTGTAGTTCAGCAGATAGTGCTTGTTCTTCTCCCCACTCTGTCTCTGCTGAATCTTCTTGCTCCTCCAGCACCTCTGACCTGTACCCCAGGGTTCTTATATACATAAAAAAAATTTTTTCTTAAAGAATTGGGGTGTAGGCCAGAGGTGCAGGGAACATGAGAGGATTCACCAGAGACAGTGAGTGGGGAGCAGAACAGGCAGATCTAGTGAAATACTCTGCTGAGGGGAGCAGTGGGGAGTGACAGGAGAGGTCTGCTGGGCCTCTTGGGTCAGCTCCCTAGCCATGAGTTAGCTCCCTGGCCTGGCCATGGGTTAGCTCCCTGGCCTGGCCATGGGTTAGCTCCCTGGCCCTGGGATCAAATTCATAGTTGGGGATGGGGTTAATTCACTCTTGTGTGGAATTTTTCATTGTTCTTGTTTTGCTTAAAAGATTGTTGACTTTTTCTGCCCCCTCCTTAGGTACCTGGCCTTGTGAAGTTTTCCATAGCCAGCTTAGCAACTGTGTTAATCGTTCCTATCTTCACTTCCAGTTAATCAAGAAAGCAGATGGTCTAGGAATGAAGTCAAGATGTTTATTTTTCCCAGCAGGGTGGTCCTCTTTGGCAAACAGATGTCTCCCAGACCCCACCAATCCCAGATGAACAGAGAATTAATTCATTAGGGATGTAACACAACCATCCATTTTCCAGGACTGCAGTTGGAAACAGCTAATGATTAGTCCTAAAGAGGAAATGCAGTTCAGTGGAGTTTAATTCTGCTTATTTAAAAATTTTCTGCTCTAAACTCCCATCAGTAATGTTTGGTTCAAAGCTCCAGTGGCTGTTCTAATGAAGTAAGGAGGGCAGTCCTGTGTCATATAGCTCTCAGACTCTGAAATGAAGGTCGAATTTTAAGGTGTGTGAATATCATTTAATGATGGTGTAAACTAAAACTTGGGTCTTTCACTGAAGCACAGAAAGACAAATTCTGAACCACAGGAAAAGTCTTTACAGAGAGGAACTTGAGTTAGCTGTCAAAGGAGTTGGCAGATTTAGACATTGCCAAACAACTGACTCCGCAAATGGTGGGACCTCTGGGATGCTGAGGGGCAAAGGAACGTGCAGGGCTCCCCATTTCCAGGCCAAAGGAGGAGCTCAGCAGTCAGGTAATGAGTCAGTGTGTTGACTGGCCAGCGGGGTGTCTTCACAGCAGATGTTTGTTTCTAACGCCATTCTCATATCTGTGCCCATTCTCATCTCTGTGTGCAGAAAGTTTTTTTGGGGGGGTATGTAAGACCATTTTTAAATATCCATCATGCAGATGGAGACAGTTAACAAGTTAGGGGACAAGATGGAAGAAAGAACAAAGTGTGGGGGTAGAGATTTTTTTTTTTAAAGATTTATGTATTTACTCATACAGAACTGGGGTACAGGCCAGAGATGTGGTGGGTGAGAAGATTCACCAGAGACAGAGCGGGGAGCAGAACAGGCAGATCAATGAAGTACACTGCTGAGGGGAGCAGCGGGTGGGTCAGGAGAGGTCTGCTGCGCCGTGTGGATCTCCTTCGGGGAAGGCATGAATCGAACTCATGCGGAAGTGGCTTAAGCTTCTTAGTGCTGTGCTTTAACCCACTGAGCCACCAGGGAAGGCTCAGTAGAGGTTTTTTTTTTTTTTAATAATACAATAGTTTATTTTTACATCATTTTGTGCATTTTTCCATCTCAGTTGCCATCCCCTTGGGCTTCCCATCACCAAATCACCCATGTGCCATCACCATAGGCGGGTAGAGTTTTAATTCAACTTATTTCTAATTTTTAGTCTAGAAAAGTTTTCTGTGGTCAAATGGAGGAAGTTCAACTACAAAGCAATAGTCCTGGCCTTTCTGCTGTCTCCATTTTGGGAGATGATTGAATAGGCAGACTGGGGTCTCCCTGGTGGCCTAGGGTTAAGTCTCAATGCTATCACTGCTGTGACCTGTGTTTGATCCCCAGCCAGGGAGCTGACCCACGTATGGCACAGCTAGACCTCCCGTCTCGCCTGTTGCCCCTTTAGCAGTGTATTTCAGTAAATCTCCCTGTTCTGCTCCCCACTCTGTCGCTGGTGAATCCTCTCATCCCCTCCTTCCCTGCCCCCCACACCTCTGGCTTACACCTCAGTTCTTCTTCTACACACACACACACACACACATGAATAGGTAGTCTGAACAGGTGTTGAATTGTGATTCTCTTCCTCCCTTGACCAGGTATTGAGGTAACTCAATGTAGCATTTCCTCTTGTGAGGCCTTGGGTGCCACGGCCTCTTTCCATGTGTGCTTTCAGCAGCCAGTTGTCTGTTTTGCATGTGCACTTCAGATAGTCGATTACCTATGTTTATTCAGGGCTCCAGCAGATGGGTCCTTTCTTGGGGCTCACTTTTGTGGCCAGTTCTAACTGGGGAAGGAGAGGTAGGAGGATGTGAACTTGTAATTGGCAACCTGATTTCAGTCTGTATTTACATGATAGGTCATTTGTGTGTGTGATAGGTATGTGTGTGTGCTTTCTTCCTCTTGCTGGACACTACAATTCTGGACTGAGATTTCTGAGAGCCATTGCATTTTTTTCTAGCTTTCTGCCATCAGTGTTGGATTAGACCTGGCACTAGTCTGTCTTTTAGTGGTTGACATTAGAGTTTTAGCAGGGAACAGAAATGGGGACAGGAGTGAACTTCCAACTGCCATTGAGCCTGTTTTTTCCCTACAGGAATATGATCAGACACTTTGTGGTTGATGCTTGTGGAGTGACTGAACTCGTCCATTCTTCCCTGCAATCAGCTGTGAGAATCCTACAGAGTAAAATGTTTTACTCTGCATGTGTTTAACTTTAGAGATTCTTGGTTCACTCTCATTCTCTGTTATTTCCTACCCCATCAAGACCTTAAAGTCCTCCTGATTCATGAGGAGAAGATGAGTAATTTGAACCTGAATTCCCACAGGTGGCATTTATTACAGATGAGGTGATAAAGTTGATGCTGCCTGGTCTTTCATTAAGTTGTTCATGAGTGGTGCCCAGGTATAAACTCGAAGACAGGCACTGCTAGAGGCCAGTAACAAGCTGGTAGAGAAACTCTTTGATGCCCTTACTTGAGGAGGAAATGAAGGATAATATAAACAAAGCCCTTTCTGGTGGTGCAACAGGTTAAAGCGCAACACTGTAGCACAAGTTTGATGCCTGGCCAGGGAGCTGACCAACATGGCATGACAGACCTCTGATGGCCAGCCTGCTGCTCCCCTCAACAGTGTATGCCTGTTAGTCTGCCTGTTTTGTTCCCCCACTCTGGTGAATCTCTGCTCTGCACCTCTGGCCTGTACCTCAGTTCTTCTTCTTTTTTTTAAAAAGATTTATTTATTCATTCATACAGAACTGGGGTACAGGCCAGAGATGTGGAGAGTGAGAGGATTCATCAGAGACAGAGCGGGGAGCAGGACAGGCTGACTGACAAAGTACAGTGCTAAGGGGAGCAGTGGGCAGGTCAGGAGAGGTCTGCTGCGCCACTTGGGTCATCTCCAGGGCAGGCGGGGATCGAACTCTTGCAGAGTGGCTTAAACTTCTTAGTGTTGTGCTTTAACCTGCTGCGCCACCAGGGCATAAATAAACAGAAGAGCCATTTCCTGGAATCTAAAAAACAAAAGCTGCTACTGAGTATCAACATATCTAACAGGTTTCCTGGTAATACTGATGCTGCTAGCAGCAAAAAGCTAGAATTTTGGTAGGGCAGAATTGTGTAGCCTGGGCTCTTTATAGTCTGCTAGTAATGTCTTCACAGCTTCTGGTACTTTGCATCCTCAATGTCTTGTCAAAGAGATGCGCCTAGGAAGTCCTTGGGGTGAATAGGTAGTAAATCCCCTCCTTAGAGACTGAAGCTGCTGTGGCCCAGGGAAAGGGCCTATGCTAGGTTTGTTCTTGGGCTCCATAATGTGTCCCGAGATTGTATTCTGTGGCTTTGTTGCCAGATTGTTGCCAGTCTCTTTAGCCTGTCTGGTTTTTTTTTTTTGTTTTTTTTTTTATTTACATATATATGGTATCTAGGATACCAACCAGAGGGTGAGAGGACCCACCAGAGACAGAGTAGAAGGCAGAACAGGTGGATCTACTGAAAAACACTGCTGAGAGGAGCAGTGGGCATGATGAGAGGTCTGCTGTACCATGTGGGTCACCTTCCTGGTGGGGATCAAACTCATGCTGCAGTGGCTTATAGTGCTTCACTTTAACCGGATGTGCCACCAGGGAAAGCCCCTGTCTACTCTTGCTCTTCCCACATCTATTATATTCCGTGGTGTTTGTCTTTCCTCAGGGATGACGTGACTGATGATTCTGTCTTCACTCGAAGCTCCCAGTGCTCTCGAGGTCTCGAACGCTATATTTCGCAGGAAGAGGGACCTCTCAGTCCCTTCTTGGGCCAGCTTGATGAGGATTACCGAACAAGAGCGGCTTTCATGCATCATTCTGACTACCGGGCCCATATGAGTTGTCACAATGAGCTGTTGCGGGGAGCAGAACGGAATCGAGACAAACTGAAAGGCTCCTACTGTGTCCGACCTGAGGAAAGGAGCCGGGAGGCCAAGCGGCCCCGCTACGACGACACGGAGAAGATACACGGCAAGGGAGATGATCACTCGAGCTACTCATCAGCGATGCGCAACTATCGGCAGCGTAGACGAAGCCCGAGCCCGAGGTTTCTGGACCCTGAGTTTCGAGAACTGGACCTTGCCCGTAGAAAACAAGAGGAAGAAGAGGAACGAAGCAGGAGCTTGAGTCAGGAGCTGGTGGAAGTTGATGGTGGTGGCACTAGCTGTCCCATCCCTGGATTGTCAGGTGTTTTACCGGCTTCAGAGCCAGCATTTTCTTTACACCGGCCCGAGGAAGGCTCTGTGATGCCCAAGAAGTCCATTCCAGAGAAACGGATTAAGGTGAAGCCTTCCATGCTGGTCTCTGCGTATTTCTTCAGGGTCTCTTGGCTTCACTACCTTAAAGCCTGCTTACTGTCTGGGGGTCTGTGTCCCTAAGGGTATGTGGGTAACGTGGGCTGCGACATCATTGTCATACTTAAGGGCTGCAACTCCCAGAACTGTGCAAAGCAATCTGTCAGCCTCCAGGTGCATCCGTAGAGGGCTCTGTTGCCAGGGGTGGGCTCTCTAGGCTGCCCTTTTGGCAAGGATGTCTTGTAAGTTTGTTCTCCATGTTGGTTAGGCCTGAAGCTTAGAGGGCATAGGGAGGAGTCAGTCTGAAACTCCCTCATCTCTCTTCAGAGAGAAGACAAAATGTGTGAGTGGGAGGACACTGGGCCAGAAATGAGGTGCTCCTGACTCTGGAGCCACCTCTGCCACTAAATTGCTGTGTGATATTTTGCAAATCACCTCACCTCACTTGATTTTTTTGCAAATCACCTCACTTGATTTCTTTCCCCCCCTATTTATTAAAGAAATGATCCAGGGAGTGAACTATCTCTAGGAACCCAAGGTGCTCTGTCAGTGCCTCAGGGAACCCTGGGAGGCTGGTCAGTTAGGTTTTCAGAAAACAAGTTAAAGCATTTGTACAGTAACTTTGAATGTAGTTTCCTTGATATGGGTTAGAATAAATGGGCAAAGGTAAGGATTTGATCTAGTCTTCTCTATTTCTCATTTCCCCTGGCTTGTTACAGCAGGAACATCTGCATATGGGTACTCAAATATGGGACCTGCCTAAGGATAGTCTGTCCCTTAATCAAATCTTCCTTTTTCATATTAATTCAAGAGCTATTTAAAGTATTTCTCTAATTGGTAGTTTACTGAGGCTGAATTAGTTATGTTTGTCTTTTCAGCTTGAGAGTTTTTCCAGCAGTACCAGTTCCAGCCAGCGTCATCCTCTGCACTCTGGACACCCTTCCTTTCCACTGTGTGGTGCTATTGCCTCAGAGACTGTAAATGATAGTCATGTGAGAGAGAACTTTGCAAATTTTTTGTGCCACAAGGAGAAATCAGAGGTGAAAGTTATGGAAACTGAGCAACTCACAGACTTTTTGCTGCCCCATGAGAGAGCTGTCCAGGATGGCAGTGGTTTTTCACGTATTCTGAGTATACTTGCAGAATCTGCCAGTCCATCGAAAAAAAGGAGACTTAGTTTCTCTGACATTGAAGATGAGGAGAAATTTCTCTATGGGGATGAAGAGACTAGAAAGGCAGAATCTTCGTCAAGTTTACCCTCCGTTGAGAGTGAAGTTATTATGCAGAGTGCGAGCTGCCTTCCCTACTCGGCTCCCACTGTGAAGCTGGAACCGCTAGGAGAGACCAATCCAAGATATGCCAAGTTTCTTGAACTGGTCCAGACCTTAGGGCTGGATTTTGTGTCAGCAGAGATCAGTAAACTGGCCACTTACACCCAGGAACAGTTTCATAGGTATGTAGATGAGTCATCTGAAAACCTAAATCTTCAAACCTGTGATATGCAGCTCCCGAAGTTGAATCAAAGTCCTGCTATGTGCTATTACTGCAAAACCCCAGGACACTGGAAAAGAGATTGCATCAAACTTAAGCGTCTCATACTCTATCAGAATTTGAGCCAGTTTTTGCAATGCCCTCCCAAATCTCAGTGATTGGGCTCCAAGAAACGACAGGGGCTTCTCCTCAGGTCCTCTTTCTTAATTGACTTAATGACATATCTGCAGAATGGAAAGAAATCTCTCTACTGACACAGAGTTTGGCTTTTGGTGCTCAACTTCAGGAGTTCAGTGGAGCAAAACCCCTACCACATTGGAATATGAAATAGTTTAGATCTTGTGGATTTCTAATAAACCTCAAATGGTTGTTCTTTCTGATGCTTTTTGTTTTGTTTTGTTTTGTTTAGGCCCTTTGAAACATAATTCATCTTCCATCTTTATTTTTGTAGCTTCAGATTTATTAGAAAAGTCTCATGCTGAGATCTTTTTATACCAAAAGCAGGAAATAATTGTAGAAGTTGACAATAACAATAGTAAAAATAGCCAACCCAGCAATTAAGTGGACATTTGGCATCTCTTATTTGCCACATCTCTGATACTAGAGTTTATTCTGGAGAAAATTTTTTGAGTATTTTTATAGATTTTTATTTAGAAGAGCTGGGGTATAAGCCAGAGGTGTGGGGTGGGGAGCAGAGGATTCACCAGAGACAGTGGGAAGCAAGCAGGCATCTACTATAATGCACTGCTGAGGGAAGCAGTTGGTAAACAGGGGGCCTACTCCACCTGGTGGACTCAGGCTATTGCAGAGATTGTCCTGAGACATAACCCCTAGGCCACCAGGGAGAACCCAAATAGCTAACATTTATACTGAAAGGTGTGCTTTTGGAGTAGCTCCTGATTTGGGGGATATTATAGCACTAGCTCTCATCCAGCAGAAATAAAAGTAAGCATAGTCGTTGTGTTCAAGAATTATTGGAAGCTGTAATTTTGCCCTGACTTCCATATAGTTAAGATCCTAGTAATGGAGGGTAAGAATAGAAAAGTTGAAAAGGAGGTGCCACAAGACTAGTGGCAGAGGTGGCTCCAGAGTCGGGAGCACCTCATTTTTGGCCCAGTGTCCTCCCGCTCACACATTTTGTCTTCTCCCTGAAGAGAAATGAGGGAGTTTCAGACCGACCCCTCCCTATGCCCTCTAAACTTCATCCCAAGAAACCCTATATTCTAACTACAGGCCTAGCCAACATGGAGAACAGACTTTCAAGAAATCCTTGCCAAAAGGGCAGTTTACAGAGCCCACCTGTGATCTGTACCATTCCAGGATGTCTCTTCACTGACCGCCCTCAGCAAAGACAGCTCTCCTCAAGGCCGACTGCATGCAACCACACAGGCTTCTCAGCAAACCCGTCCCTTTCGGGGAAGCTCTTTCTGCCCGTTTTTGTCTATGGAAGTATCCGATATTCTTTGCTCCCTTCTATAATACGCCTGCTTTCTTGTTATACGTAATGTCTCTGTTGTGGAGAAACTCACCTGGGAAACACCAGTGCGACTGGAAGGGGAGCTCTGGTGAAATTTCCTAGAGTGAGCCTGAGGACCCCACTCTCCAAACCCAACAACTCCAAAAATGACTTCACTAGGGTACTCTAAAATTGACTAGATGCTAAAGGAAATGACCATCTTGATAGTTCGTGAAGAATTCTACTCTCAAATGAGCCTATGGCAGCCAAACTGCTGTTACAGTCCAAAGAAACATTTCCTCAAATAACAGAAAAACTGGCAAGAGAGCCCAATAGATGGCCTCAGGAGAGAAGAAAAAAGAGTAGAAATTCAGTGTAATGATTGATTAAGAGAGAAAGCTCCACTTTGGGCCAAATAACAATCCAATCCTACCAGATGCAGTAAGAGTTCCACTCCTAAGCACCATGCATACTATAAATAATTTGTTTCCTTATAAAGTGATGTAGTTCATAGCTTCATGTTGGTGGGGAAATATTGGTAAGGCCACGTGTTCAAAGCACAATCCAGGGAAGCTTTTTTGTAGTATTCCTGAGATAATTTAATGATCTGATTATTACTAGGGTTGGTTCCTAAAGACTTTTTCTGTATTTGGTTGACTAGGTCAAATTTGGAAGAACCTGTGGTATTTTTAGAATGGCCCTGAATCACCATATCCTCACCCGGCTGGCTTCTCAGTCTGCACCTCCCCCAGTTACTTTACCTCTCTATACTTGTTTATTGAGTATGTTAATCACTTCTACTTCCACCTTCTGGTTCTGATCTCATGGCACCAGTTTGTTTTGTGACACCTCCTTTCCAAATTTTCTCCATCAGCTATAACAATGCTATTTTTAAAAAGATGGAATTGCTGGATAATAGAAAGTGGATGTGGTAAAATAGGAACTGGATGTAGACAGAAAATATGACTTCTGAATAGAACTACTGGAGCAAAAAGAAAAAATCTATAGCCAAATTAAGAAATATAATAGAGGACCGAGGACCTCAACAGGAGACAAATGCAAGTGGTGGAAAGAACTGAGCTTGAAAGTGATGTCAGTTTTGGAGTCAGTGATGTGGAAGAGCGGTGTCCTTGGGTTCATTCACTCTGGGAAAGGTTTCACCAGAGCTCCTCTTTCAGCGACACATGGTGAGTTCCTGAGACCTTAGTTGTATTTAAAAGCGCAGCTTTAAGGCTCCTCCCTGGTGACGCAAGGAGTTAAAGAGCGCAGCTCTATGAAGCTATCAGCAGCTACTGCAGCATTCTCTGGCCAGGGAGGTGACCCATATGGCGCAGCAGACCTCTCCTGTCCAGCCCACTGCTCCCCTCAGTAATGTACTTCGTCCATCTGCCTGTCCTGCTCCCCGCTCTGTCTCTGGTAAATCCTCTCACCCCTCCCCACCCCCCCATACCTCTGGCATGTACTCCAGTTCTGTATGTAAAAATAAATCTTTAAAAAAAATGAAAGAGCAGGCTTATTAGAAAAAGGGACAGAGGAGTAAAGGACACTTGCATAGACACAAGCGGGCTGGAAGAGCTGCCCCAAAAGGGACAGATTTGCAGAGAGAGGTCTGCACATTTGCTGGCAGGCGGCTTTGAGGAAGCTGCCTCAGTGAAGAGAAGCCCTGGCTTGGTGCAGGTCACGGGCAGGCAGGAGGCTGCTGCAGAGGGAGAAAGCAGGTGGAAAGGGGCACCTGCGTAGGCACAGGTGGGCAGAAAGACCTGCCCCTTTGTAGGGGCAGTGTTAGGTTTATTATCTTTCTGAGGGAGGGGCTCATCTTTGTAGGTGGATGGTGTGTTCCTTGACCTCCATGTCTTCACCTTCAGGTCATGTGTTCCTGATACCCCCTTCAGCATCCTATACTTGGACTGAGGACTATGTTAATCCCTCCACCTCCTTGTATGAGCCTTGTGTGCCTCCTTTAAGTTTTCTACTCTTTTCATCCATCAAAACCACAATGTTGGAGAACACACAAAGTGGACAGCAAAGAGAAAAGAAAATCTGGAAAATAAAAATAGTAAGAATTCTTTTGGTTAACCTAAGGAGAAATAACATCTGTATCATGAGGGTAGAAATGATTAACATACTCATTAAACAAGTTATGAAAAAGTAAAGTCTCCACAGACACAGAGTGGGGATATGGAGATTAAGGGCCATTGTAAAAGTACACCACCTTTCAAATCTACCTAATCAAACTGTTACAGGGCACCCCAATGTGAATTGGGTTACCTGTCTGTGGGTCTTCACCCGTGCGCTTACGATTCAGTCGTATTATGGACACACTCAAAAGGTTAAATAATGGTTTTATTTATAAGGACAAAGGTAAAGGAATAATCCAGGGAAAGAGGGAGAGAAACACAGGTTAACTAGGATGTCCTACCAGTTCTGCTGACTTGGACTCCACCGGCACGCTGAAAACGGATTGAGCGCCAAAACAATCGGCTGGGAACCACCAGGTCGCCTCCAAAGCCCACATGTCTGGTTTTATCCCAACCTGGCTGCTCAGCTCTGCCTTCAGGTCCTTCTTGCTTCTTCTTGGTACTGATGAGATTTGGAGTTCCAGCATCTGGAGTAGGGGCGGAGTCCATGAAACCTGTACCTGTTACAAAACCAAATATAAAAAACTGCAAAGGAGGCACCCCCAGACCAGAAAGCTGGCTTTTACAATGCCAAGAGCTGGGGGTGGGGTAGAAGGAACTAACAGCCATTAACCCAGCTAAAGGAAATAAGATCCACCAGCTCTAATGGCTAGACCACAAAGAACAAGACCCAGGCAGGCAGCTGTCAGGCTGTTTTGGGTGTCAGGAGCACAGATCTGAAGGTGAGGATATGGACATTGAGGCCACTGTAGAAATCGGGCCCCTTTCAAATTCTACAGTTACTCAAAGCCAACAGCAAACAAACCACTTCCTAAGGAGTGAGCCCCTCCCAGGAGAAGACTATGGGGCAGTCTGCACTGGCCAGGGGAGCAGTCCTCTGCCCACCTGTGCCTATGCAGGTGCCCCTTTCCACCCACTTCCTCCTTCTGCAGGGCAGCAGCCTCCTGCTGGTCTGTGACCTGTACCAAGCCCGGGCTCCTCTTCACTGACCTCCCTCCGGGGAGGCTGCTTCCTTAAGGCTGCCGACCTGGAACAACACAGGCCTCTCTTAGCAAACCTGTCAGCAAACCTGTCCTTTCAAGGGCAACTCTTTCTGCCTGCTTGTTTCTATGTAAGAGTTCTTTATTCCTAAGTCCCCTTTCCTTAATAAAGATGCTTTTGTAAGTACAACCAACATCTTTTTCTCATGGAGAAACTTTCTGTGTGCTGTGGAAAGGCGAGCTCTGGTGAAACCTTGCCCAAAGTGAACCCAAGGAACCCACTCTCAAAACCCATCAAACCCCAAAACATCAGAAACTTCAAGTAAAAATAAATAAAAGTAACAGAAGACAAAACAACTTAAAAAGACAAAAATAAAGTAAAATGGCAGTGAGCACTTAATCACTTTAAG